TTTGTTGTTAACTTGAATAAAAAGGCAAATGAAAACAACGTTGCTTTTTTCTTATAGAATACTTATACAGTAATATTTTTACACATGCCTACATTGTAAATGTGACTAAAAGGACATTCAGTAACGGAGCAAATGAACAGTCCTGTCTTCTGTGGCCTTTTCTACAACATCGCTCCCAGTAACGTCGTGCTCCTTTTTCGATACTACATTAAAGAAAACTTCTCTCTGGTACCAAATTATGCCCTTACTTTACTAAGTTTTCTTCACACAGTCTCTGACATTTCTTGCGTCTTTAAATGTCAACTTTATTGATTCAACCGGTGAAATGTTTTTTCACAGGAAAGGCTGGTTTCCTTTCTCTTACACTCAGCCACATCATACCAAGATGGATCTTCTCGAGAGGTAAGTGAACAAATAACAACTGCTGAAATCTGTTGGTCTGAAGGCTAACAGCTCTGACATTAGTGATGATGCTTCCATAGTTTTTTTTGGGTGATTCACACTTGATGGAGTCATTTTCAGGCTGAATCCTTTATGACTCTCTCCACTTTCCCATCCATGTATTCTCAGTCACTAAATACACATTTCATGCCAACATAATCATCCTGTCTGCCTTCAGTATCCCCACCACCCTCTCTCAACTTACTCTTTTTTCCAACAGCAACAAAGTTGTTGATAGATTCACACAAAAACCAACATTTGCCTACTCTCATTGTGTCTCCTTTATCTTTTTTCCACTGTGTACTCCTTCCTCTCTGTCTGTGACCTTCCCTGTAGCTCGCTCTTCTTATCTAGAGCTAACAGCACCAGTACCGGGCAACTTGACAAACTAGGGTCTCCGGGTCTCCCAGCCCTCACCCCTGAGTCGGAGGAGGAACGCTCCCTTCCTCCCCAGAGGGTCAGCACCTTCCGCCCGCGCCCCTACAGCATGGCCGACAGCAACAAGGTCAGAAACACGAAACCTGTGGGAGGAGCTCAAGGGTTAGAGTGAGGGCGTCCTCACAGTTGACCCTGACTATTAAAGTAGCAGATACTTCTGCTTTCTAATAATTCAGTACAAATACCGACGCGCATCTCTACTGACTTACAGATCACCTCAGAGTTGGCCTCCCCACCTCCCTCACCGACCAGGTAACTTACAGGTGCTAATCAAAGGAAATTGAGCATTTTTACTTGTCATCGCCCATTCACTGAAAATACTACACAGTCTATAAACTACCTCTGAATAAATTCCGACTTGTGCACCTAATTCTGGTTGTTTATGTTTGGTTGGCACATCAAATTTTTTTCATATTGTGTTTGTTTTTGCACTTGCATCAGTGCAAGACTGTGACGAGTCCAATCTGATGGTGGACACATAAAAAATAGTATCAGCTGCCCAAAACATAATAATAACCATAGCAGGCATGAACAAGTCAGAAGTGAGCACTGAGTCCTGCAGTGTCAATGTCTCTGTAGAGCTGCTATCACAGCATGTCTAACTTAGAAAAGTATAATCCTAAATTCTTCACATGCCCATGTAATCACCAGTTTAAGTTACGTATTTATCGCTTCCTTCTTTCAGGCCCAATCCATTTTCACATGTCCGACTCCGAAAGACCGTCACCAACGATCGCTCAGCTCCCATCATCGAGTGAGCTTTTTATTCCCACCGCAGCAGCAGCAGCAGCAGTGTATCTCTGTGGTTCATCAGTACATCGCACCTCAGGTTGATTCCTGGAAAGAAGCACACTGGCTAATGTTAATGTTCTACTTTTAAATGTAATATTCTGTGTGTTTCAAGTATAAAGGCTGTTATAAATATGAGTACAGCCGACTGGATTTGTAGGTTGCTGGGGGAGAAGAGACAATTGTAACATGTGAGAAACTGCTTTAGTGAAGTGTTGGCTTTAATATAAAAACTAGATGTTTAGATGTTTAGCTTCATGTTTGTCACACTGTGTCCGGCTTGTCCTGAATAACTAACATGCTTTAGTTTGAATTATGACAGATACAGTTGTTTCTTTTACTGTTTTAAAAAGGTTTTTTTCTTCCTTTTTGGTTATTTTTGTGCATATTCAGAGATGTTTTCTGTGTTCAGCTGATTTAGGGACTGGATCCTAATAGCAGGTTGTGCACATTGACTATGATGAAGTGTTATGGGAAGAGGACAGGCTCCTTCTCTATTACAGTATTATATTTTTTAGAAAAGCTGCCAGATCTGGTGCATTTTCTTGGTGCTGGTGAAGGTGAGCATTTAAAAGTATTAAAAGTGTGTGTGTGTGTGTGTGTGTGTGTGTGTGTTTTTTTGTTTTTTCATTTTATTTTAACACAGTGATTGTCTGGGTAAGCTACTTGACATTAATGAAACTGGCACAATGACTTATGTTTATGTCATGTTTTAGTTTCTGAACATGAGCGATGTTGTTTGAAGGCACAAGTCTGTCAGATACATCCTGTTGTGCCACTTAACACCATTCATTCTGCTGCTGTAAAGTTACATGTTAGCAGTTGCGAGTAGATGATTTAAAAAATTGCTTTCTGCTTGAAATTTGATTATCTAGAGTTGATCCATCCACTCGCTGAGTGAAATCATCAAAATTGTCCTCTTTTTAAATACAGAGCATCGCTGACAACACAAAGAAAACTCGTAAACTTCACAGACACAAACTGCAAAAGTTGGTAGTTGAATGTTTGGATAGTGGTATCACCGAAAGAAGTGTTTTGTTTGAAAGTAGGATGTCGTGGTGGGTTCAAAGTCTTAAGAGTGAGAGATTTGCATGCTTAGTCTTTGGATTTGATGTCTTCTTGATTTCTTTTCAGTCCCAAAGCTATTCACGAGCTAGGCTGCTTAATTGTAGTTGTACGTCCATCAGTCAGACTAAGCAGAATCTTAAAGTGATGTATGGATGCTAAGACAGATGATGATTAGGTTTTTACTGAGAAACTGTATCCGTGAAAGTGATGAAGAAAGTATACAGGAAGTTGACCAACGTCTGAGCAAGTGTTCATGGTAATCTACAGACATCCAAAGTAATTTTTTTGTAGCTCTGTCCTCTTTGTTGCCTCTAACAAAGTGAAATCTGTGCAAACTGAAGCAGTTCATGTTCCTGGTTTAACTGCCTCAAGTTACTTTGATGTTTTAGCACCTTTTAGATTCATAATATCACCTGAAAAGCTTGTAGAAAAAAATATCTATCAGCATATATTGTACTCACTTTGTGTAGTGTTGCTTCATTAATAAAGATGACAGCAAAATGCTTTTAATGCATGTAAATAGTGCCAGAAATTGTGTGAATTTATGATTTCTTTGTAAAAATTTCACTTTGGTAGAACATTTGGGCTTTGTGGTAATACAGAGCAAACATCTGGAAAGTGCACAGCCGCTGGTAGAGAAATTCAGTCTTCAGCTCAGAGTGACTTACACAGAATGAGATACAATTGGTACAGAGTTTGGATACACAATGTCACTAATTCAAGTTGAATTTAACCTTTAAAAAGCAAATTATTTAGTCACAAATACATTTAAAGCAAGGAGGAGAGTTCTGAAATAATTGCATGTGAGATTAAACTCATTAAAAAATGTAAATAATGTAAAATGAACAGATAACGTTATTTACGTTTCAAACCTACACTCATTGCCACTTATGGTACACCTGTTTAGGTGCTTGTTAGTGCAAATATCTCATCAGCCAATCACATGTCAGCAACTAAATACATTTAGGAACGCAGACATGATCAAAAGGACCTCCTGAAGTTCAAACCGAACATCCGAATGGGGAAAAAAGATGATTTAAGGGACTTTGAATGTGGCATGACTGTGAAAATGGCCAGACTCCTTTAAGCTGATAGTCAGGCAACAATAACTCAAATAACCACTACAACTGAGGTATGTAGAAGAGCATCTCTGTATCCACAAGACATCAAACCTAGAAGCTACGGCAGCAGAAGACCACACTGGGTGCCACTCCTGTGAGGAAAATAAGCTTACAGTATGCACAGGCCCACCACAGACAATATGGTATTTGAAGAATATTATCTGGCCATGATAGAAACTGTGAGGTTTTCTGAGGAATATTTCCAGCAACTTGTTGAAACTGTGCCACAAAAGCTCTGAAAGAAAGCAAAAGGGGATCCAACCTGGCACAAGCACAGTGTACCTAATGAAGTGGTTAGTAGTTCCCCTGCACTTTAAATCAAAGCTGAACAACGTAGGCGAGAGCTGTCCCGTCACAACTCAAACACAAGTTCAGAACACTTCTGTTAGAATTGAAATGTTGTTCGACATTAGACACATTTATTTATACACTTTATCTGCAGAAAACAATGCATCTATTCAGACACTACTGAATATAACACTACTATGAATATTTCAGAGGAACAGACTTTATCTGGACTACTAATGCTTACATGTGAAATAAAAGGTCGATGAAACAAGCTTTTGCATGATTTGAAAAACTGAGATTTCTGCAGAGAACACACAGTTATATTGTTATTTAGTATATTCAAACTTTGTACAGGTGAGAAGAAATAAGAGATATTGAAAGATATTTTACAACCTACTTCATGTTTTCACTAAAAAAAAACAAAAAAACAAAAAACAGGGGGTATCCATCCATGAGGGGTGCGAGCAGAATTAAAGCTGGTATGAAAAGAATTTTTTATACCAGCCTTAATCTGATTACAGCTTCTTATTTTTAAACTAAGCCACCTCTGAAGGATCAGAACTGTGTTGAAGCTTAGTTTCAAAACAAAAATCTTAACCCTGAGTAACTTTTAACTGAGAAAAAAACTGTTTCACATGTATGTATGTTTGAGAGGTAAAGGTGTAGATCAAACTTAAAGCAACTTAAACTGTGACTGATCAACTCTGCTTCGATTTCACAGAAAAATACTTATTAATGCTGTTACTGATTACAGGCTTTGTTATTAATTAATTCAACAGAACCAATTAGACACTGTTGCTATAGTTTGCACATCATTAACCTAAATGCACTGAAATAATACAGATGAAACAAAAGTAGAATTAAATAGAATCTTTATTGTTGGACACAGACATTGGAGGCAACTATTTAGACAGATATTAACATGAGAAAATCTGAAGTTATAGATTTTTGATCCAATCCAAGTTTCTTCCTTTTGGTTCACGTGGATGAGCTGGAATGTCGGGCATGTTTCCATCATCTCGCACAGGAACTGTGAAGAGAAAATAAGGTAGGAGTTTTAGGATGCTGAAACGTCAGCTTTCAATTACACTCGAACCTGCTGTGACATAAAGATCGCCAGTGTTTACCTGGGTAGTTGTACGGCACAGCTGCGTTCAACATTGCTGTATATTTTGTAAGTGGGCTGATGAACGGAAGAATGGCACCTGAGAAAAGACATTTGAACACATATGGCATTACACTCACAGTTCACTGTGCCTCTATAGGTCAATTGAGAATAATTGAATCATTGCACAAGGTGCACAGTCATACAGAAACATAATAAACACAGATAGCAACGACTCTGACTGGCATGGCTTTAAGTGTCAATATAAAGTTACTCATTTAAAATGCTGATTTATGAAAATTCAGACCAAAAGATTTTGGAGCCCTCTGACCAAAAACCGTTTGATGTTAACTTGTCCGGCATTTTGGACAAGTTTCATTAAGAAACTGTATACACACTCCTCCCTCATTGAATTGCTTTGTTTAGATTCTTTAGCTTACTAATTTTCTCCAGTTTGAAACGAAATAATAATGCAGAAGAAGTGATTTCATGTTAGTTTTCACAACAAATTCCTCCATGACTCAAACATCCACATATCTACTACTGTGGAATCAGCAAAGACGCCTCAAATCGCTGGTCGTTGAATAACACGAGTAACCAAAGCCAACTGTCTGCAGTACATGAAGCAGAGTAACATAACAGGCGGGCAGATGGTGATGCCAAGTTAGCCGAGATTTTAGAGTCAAGCTGCCAAATAATTTCTTAAATACACTGCTGGAAAGTTCATGGGCAATGACATTGTTATTTTCTGATTATAACCTAATTTGATATTGGCCACAAAAATTCAGTAAATTCTGTATTGTGTTGTTAAATAATGTATTTATATCGAACTTTTCTACACCTACTTACCACACAAAGCACTTCAATCTACAAGTTACATGTTATCCAAATAGCACTGTATTCCATAAACTTTAAGCATATAGCTGCTAGAGGTGGGAATCACCATACAACTCACGATACGATATTATCACAACACTTAACGCACGATACGATATTATTGCAATTTTTTAATAATATTTTGCGATATTCAGATTCTGTACATAAAGGTAAACTTTATCAATATTCATTTTATCTAATATCAAAGTCTCACACTCAGTCTTTCTCTCATTTCAGTTTTATTGTTGACAAACTGAACGGTTTGTATTACAGTCTAGTCCAAATTAACTGAGTGCAACCATCTGGTACAATTATAGCTATTCTGAACTATGCAATTTATGAAAACTATGCAGCCCATTCAGCAAATGACAGATTTGAAAGTAAATGAAAACAAAATATAATTTTACATTAAATAAAAAAGTTTTAAACTTAATTAAAATAAAACATGTCTTAAATTAAAATAAGTAAACTGTCATGTTTATTGCTGCCAAAAAAAAGTTAAACACATTTGGACAGTGAAGGAATGTCAGGATTCTTGCTCAGAAAAAGGATCAACATGCTCTGAAGTCAGAGCACAAAAACCTTTTTATCGATTTCTGCTGTCCCTGTATCGATACATTATTAGCAAACAAAATATCACGATACTACACAGTATCGATTTTTCCCCCCACCCCTAATAGCTGCCCAAATCCACAGCCAGTTTCAAACCACCAACATGCATAAAAGTTTCAACTGTGAGAGGACGCTGGAACACAGCAAGGCTCGCTGGTGAAGTACACCATCGTGCCACCTCTATACAAGTAATGTAGGATCGCTCGATGCCACTCTCTCTCTCGTTTGCAGGTGGTTCAAAATGCAGCCGCTCGACTCTTAACTTGTACAAAGAAAAGGCAGAATATCAGTCCTGTTTTAATCCATAGATTACCTCCACAATATATTACAGATCTTTTAACTCCAGGTCACTGAGGTCATCATCACAACAACTTCTTTCATAAAAATTAAAAATGATTGGGTTTTTGCTGTGTTTGCCCCCCCTGGCTCTGGAATAGTCTGCTACCCCACATAAGAAGCTGTTCGACAATAAACTGTTTTAAATCAGCTCTAAAAGATCGAAGCTCTATCTACTTTAAATTGCCTTTTGTCAAGTGTGAGGTGACTCGTGGATTTTAATTGGGTTCTTGAGACCTGGATTACAAGTGACTGTGCCTTTAAAGCACTTTGGTCAACTACTGTTGTTTTAACACGTGCAATATAAATAAAAGGACTTGACACACAAAGACTATAACGTGCTTATTTGTTTTCTTTATTCGGTCTTTCCATGCTGGACATATAAATCGTATACTCAGTTCAATTAAACTGAACACAAGACAGCTACGCTGATGTAAGTCTACGAAAGCGGATTATTGTGAGACGTATAGCTAGCAATCTTCTGATTAATATTTCATGTTGCCACACTGTCATTCATCGGCGTTGCAGAACTGCCATTGTATGTTATTTAAAGCTATGCTCTCTCTCTCTCTCTCTCTTTCTCTCTCGCTGCACCACTCTCACAGATTTCTAACAGGTTGGCGACTTACCAACCAGTCCAATTCCACAAGAAGCCATGATAACCGGCTCCTTGTTCCACGCATTCCTCAGGAAAGCTCCGATTCCTGCAGACAGAAACCCACGGGCAGGTTAAAAACCGCACCGAGTGACAGGCTACGTACGGTTAACCAATGCTAGTTAATGTTAGCAACACATCCAAGGTCACATTTTTCGAACGAATACATCAGAACTAAAGTATTTCTAAGATCCGGTTAGAGTAATTTTAAATATATAAGGTGTTTATCTGTACTATCCGAGGGTCCAAGTAAACCGAATTTCACTGATTAGAAGTCAAAAAGATGACAAAATATACACATACCCGCCATATTGTCTGGTGTAGTTTCCACCGAGCGAGTTCTCATGGGAAATGTAGTGACTGCTAAAAATGACGTATAATTCCTGCGCCCGCCGCACGAAAACAGAGAGGGAAACAGAGGATCCCTGGAAGCTTCGGGATTGATTTAAGTCAGCTATCATGCTATTAAACGGCCTTAGCTAAAGCTAAACAGAGAAAACGACACTGCACGCAGCTTGTGCTCAGGTTGATGATGACACTGGTCGAAGTGTCGCTTTAAACACACGTTAAAAACATCGTTTCGAGACTAACAAATGTAAGTACTATTAGACTAATGGATTGTTTTAGTACTAAACAATAATCAGGCGTGGTGACATCAGAAGTCTAAAACATGGGAAATTCTTGTTTTGAACTTTTCAGCCGTTTTTACTCCACTGGGAACCCCGACCACTATATCAGGCTTTTACTGACTCACAAACAGCTGTTGAGTTACTGTAATTACTATCCAGATCTCAGCATCGCGCAGTAAAATAGTAGATTTAAATTTTGTGTTATAAGTTTATATCGGCAAATAATGTGCAACTAAATCTTTAAGATAAGTGTAGCGGAGTAAATCCTGAGCACCTCCTTTGCTGCAGGTATTTCCGCTATAAAGTCAGAGGACAGCTGCTGTCCACGTGGGTCAATTTCAGCCACTTTGCTTCACATACAAACTGAGTGGTTGGTTAAAACACCATTGCTGGCGCTAGGCAGTGAGGCCGTTGAATCCTATTTGCCCAGTGTATTTGCTAGTATTTCTTCTTGATGAATGACTCATAACCGCTGCACAGGCTGTTTACATTAACAGAGAAACTTCTTTCCCTCCAGATGATGGAGGATTTTTCTGGCTTGGCTCTGCCTCCTTTATTTGGAGGTCACATCCTGGAAGCAGAACTGGAGCCTGGTGGTGTGGAGCTGGGACCGGGAGAGGTAATTTTATTGATCTTTATAAAGGTGCTTGTCATGTTAGCACACATGGTAACACTTAGTTAGTTTGCCAATTAATACAAATTCACAGCTCATTTAACCAAGTCTCCAATGTTGCCAGCAGATATGAATCAGTACACTGATGCAGAATTTATATAATATAATAGTAATGCTGGTCTTAAAAACCTTTAAATGAAGAAACACCAGTCATTATATTTGTTTAAACAAGACACTCATCCTTCACAGACATTTACTCCATTTTTTTCTGTCTTCTTTTTTGGTTCAGGAGTTTAGCTTTTTTAGTTTTCTCCATCTTTTCCCTTAGAAATGAGACTACATTAGTACTCAGAGAGCTGACCTTCTCCCTATGAACTTCGATCCTCTGTGACACAGATCTCATGCATGAAAATGTCACTGAATAGCTGCTACTTTACTCCTTTCCCATTAGAATTTTTAGAATATGGGGAGTTTGGCTCAAAGCACATGGTTACACTCCCATGTGCTACCCACATTTACATGTAGTGGAGATTAATCTTTCTAATTCATTATACACTGCATAGCAGTTTTTATTTCCTAGCTCTTGCTGAATAATGTGGCTATAATAAGATGACTTTCTGCTTGACTTGGGTTTTGCTTTGAAACATTGAACAGGTAAAAGTGTTTTCTTGTGAGAACAAACAATGTGATGCCAGACACAAAACAGAATCCTGCTTTTGTATTTGTTTAGGTGGAGCTGGGTCCAGGAGGCACCGAGCTGCTTGAGAGCACAACACAAGAAGATGAAGAAAAAAGAGCTCTTGACAAAAGGAAATATGTGGCTCTGAGCAGGAAATGTAAAGAAATTGAACAGGTGTGTGTTATGGTAAAAAAAAAAATGATACGTGAATAATAAAAATGACCAGATCAACACCACTGAAACAAAGCTTCACACAGCAGTGCTGCAAACACACGCAGGTACACAGCCCTCCCCTCACTAGCAGCTAAACAACACTTTGAGGTGTCAGTAGAACTCCAGTTTCAACAACACTGAAGTATTAAAATGTTATGATAAACATTAACCTGGCTGGTACATTACTGTTATATTATTATCTAATAGCCACATTATCTATCTATCTGTTAAGTTATTATTAAGGTAGTGACTATGGCTAATAATAAAACTTTGTTAGGGCTAGGCAGCAAACCGTACCAGTCCTGCCCATAACATGTGATGTTAATGGAGGGTGTTCATTTAAAAGTAACACATTACTTTTATCTAAAAAGTGTTACATTGTGTTGTTAAGTGCCAGATTGAGTCAGAGGGAAGTGTATCGGCAGCTAGACCAAAACGGCTGACAGAAACATTAATGAATCTATTTGATCAGCAGTGAAAGTCATGAGAAGCACAGCAGTGACTCACACAACCTAAAATATTGTTTGTTTGGTTTTTTTATATAATATAAAAAAAACTGCTCTCATTGATGTTATTGTTTTTTTTTATTGTTTTAATCTTCAGAAATAATGCCTTCTTTTTTTTTTTTTTAATTATTTCTTCTTCTTTTTTTACTAGTAATAGTAGTAGCTTCGAACATAGTATTGAGTATTCAGTGTTTTCCTGAGTATCTGTATCAAGTTTAAATTCTAGTATCTAGTAAATGGTTTGTGCGACCTTACATCGCACAGGCCTGACTTCTGATTCAACTGCAATTATTTCAATAAGGTTTCTGAATATTCTCCTGCTGCTTTAATATTCTGATATATCAGTTCATCATTGATCCAACACATGCACTTTGTTCAGGTAAATCAGAAGATCCTGGGTCGCCTTCACCAAGTGCAAAGAATTACTCGACGTCTGAAGAAAGAAAGGAGGTATAAACTGTCATTATAATAACTGAAGATTTTGTATGTTTTCTGAGAAGTTGCTCACTTTATGGCTCATCTGTGGGTTGTGTTAACTCTCACAGATTCCTCATGAAGACCTTAGATGCTCACGGGGATGACTACAGAAACGCTCAGCTCACTATACTGCTTGAGGTAAGGATTACCAAACATGGGTGGATATCAAAGACAATATAAAAGATGGAAGTAGCTTCTGCGTATGAAAAGTGAAGCCAACGCATTAGTGCAGGGTTAGGGAACTCCAGGCCTCGAGAGCCGGTGTCCTGCAAGTTTTAGATGTGTCCTTGATCCAACACAGCTGATTTAAATGGCTAAATTACCTCCTCAAAATATCCTGAAGGCTGTATCCCAATTCAGGGTCTGCAGTCTTAAAGTACGCAGCCTTAACGGTCCACAAGGGCCGCATACTCAAAGACCGCTAAGGCCGAAGTGACAGGCTTGTGAAATGGGACGGTCTAGCCTCCGTCGTGCTGCCCAGGTTGCCTAGCAACCATGACACTAACAGCTGTAAACATTTCATACAGCATTATTTGACAGAAATGAAGGAGAAAAGGTTTTGTTCATTTGTTTGTTTCTACATGAGCTTTGATTTGATAAGTATCTGAGGCTGACTGTGAAATCATGATTATTGGGCTTCACTTCTGTACTGAACAGTCATTTAAGATTAGCTAGTAAATAACAATTAGCTCATGTTGTTCATGAGACTAAAGTCATCTTACTTTGGTAATGTAAATATAATATGGCCAATATTAAAGTTATAATTTCAATCATTATTAGTTATTACAGCAGTGAATGACTCTGTTTCAAATACTGAGCTTCAGTAAAGATTCAAGCTGCATTTATTTATATTATTTATATTTCCTGTCACCTTAAATCTTCACTCAAAGACAGGTTTCTTTGACACTGTATATATAACTGTGTTATATATATGAGAGACACATATTGTTCTTTTAATATGTTGGCATTACTAAATTTGTCTCAGTGCTTAATTTAAATATCCATAAAATCATCACATTCTCTATAAGATTAAGGTCAGCTATTGAACAGCATATATTAAGTAAAGGCTTTAAAACCAAGTTAGTACAAATGTCACTAATGTCACATAACTTTGCCGACATGTGGCCAACAGTAATGTTTTAATGTTCTTCGTTATTAAACATTCGCACATAAATAAGTGACATCATATTCAGTACTTACTTTTAAAAGTTTACTCTCCGGCCGCTCCTCTTCTGCCGTTTTTTGTTTTTTTGTGTTTTTTTCCCAGCAAAATTATCCACACCCACCGCCGCGCTATGCATTCTGGGATATTTTGGGCCACGAAGTCTACACCACCACATCCTTAAAATTCAGTGAAATGAAGGACGCATTTGAGGGACGCATTTTGAGCAGCCTTTGAATTGGAACAGTCTTCGTCGCATCGCTGTGACGCAATTGGCCTTAAAATGCGGCCTTTAAGGCTGCAGACCCTGAATTGGGATACAACCGAAGTTCTCCACAGGCCTGGTACTAATCATTTGATTCAGGTGTGTTGACCCAGGGTGAGATCTAAAACCTGCAGGACACTGACTCCCGAGGCCTGGAGTTCCCTACCCCTGCGTTAGTGCCTTAAACCTTCTTTTTAATGGATACCAAAGCGCAACTTCTCTGGGTCCAAAAAGACTTACTGTATAGAAGTGTATGGGAAAATAACCTGTGGCTCCCTCATTCTGTGAAACCTTTCCTGATGTTGGTAGTTTCAGGCCAGGGCAGTAGGCAGGGTTTTCCTTCAGCTTTCTGTTTGTATTAGTTCTTCTGCTTTTGCTTGCTAAACTTTGAAAGGTCCTACAGAGATAGTTATGAATACTATTTTGTTTTTCCCCTTGCCTTTGTTTCAGGATGAATCTGGAGCCCATTTGGAGCCGGCTGCTGCAGCGGAGGATGAAAAGCTCAACGGTGTTTCCGGTTCCACTCCATCTGCAGCATCACATCATGTGGCTGGGACAAAGAAAAAGAGGCATCGAATTCCTCGTCAAGAAAAGGATAAAGAGCCACAGGTGAGTAAAGCTCTTTCCTGATCAGATGCTGCCTGTGGACGTTTAACTGTGGGTATGTTAAAATGCTGGTAGTCCAAATCACGGACCTTCTTTTCTCAGATCGACCCGGAGATGTCGGCGTTGGCAGAGTCACAGTTTGGAGAAATGTCCAGCCCGACCTCACTGTCTCATTGATCAAACCGCTGTCCTGGATATCACGATGATGGTGACTAGGATAAGAGCACCCAGTTTCCAGGACTGTTTAAAACACTGCCTTACTTGAGTCAATCTTTGTAATGTTGTGGTTTCACTTGAATATTGTGAACAGATTGAGTTCATGTAACACGAGATGTTATTCACCTTATATATGTGTATATTTGTTTTGTATATACGAGGTTATGTTTTTACAGTTGACAGTTGATGGCAACATATTTATGACAAGCACGTGATGCTGAAAACATGATTTGATAAATATTTGACGTATTAGATGAATATGACAGGGTATTACTATCATTACTTGAGTTAGGATTTTATCCGAGTAAGCAGATGGACTCGTCGTCATATTAAACTTTTACACTGTGCTGTTTGGGTTTACTTTTCTGTGATTTTGTTTTTTCCCTCTTTTGTATTCACTCATCTGCCTTCACATGCTCATGGACTTAATGTGGCATCTCATTCTTAATCGATAGGGTTTGACATGATTTCACCCCACCTTGTGAAGCTATAACTGCTTCCGCTATTCTGGGAAGGCTTTCCACAAGGTTTAGGAACGTGTTTATCCAAATTTTTGGCCGTTTTTCCTGAAGCACATTTGCGAAGTCGGACACTGATGTTGGACGAGAAGGCCTGGCTCGCAGTCTCTGCTCTGATTCATCCCAAAGATGAATGCCATGAGGTCAGTCAGGCCAGTCAAGTTCTTCCACACCAAACTCGCTCATCCATGTCTTTATGGACCTCGCTTTGTGCACTGGTGCGCAGTCATGTTGGAATAGCAAGGGACCATCCTTAAATTGTTCCCACAAAGTTTAGAGCATGAAACTGTCCAAAATGTCTTGGTATGCTGAAGTATTAATCAGAATCAGAATCAGAATACTTTATTGATCCCTGGGGAAATTATTTTTTGTTACAGTGCTCCATTTTAAACCAACATTAAGACAAGACAGACAATACGCTAACTAAGAATAGTACAATATATACATATATATACATACATACATACATAAGTCACTTATAAATAAATATTTGGAAAAGAAACATGTGTAGTTGTAGCAGCAAACAGTGTGTTAAGTGGATGCGTTGTACAGGGAGATGGCCACAGGCAGGAATGATTTCCTGTGTCGTTCAGTGGTGCTTTTCGGTAATCTCAGTCTCTCACTGAACGAGCTCCTGTGGCTGACCAACATGTCATGGAGTGGGTGGGAGGTGTTATCCAACATTGTCTTTATCTTGGACAGCATCCGCCTCTCCGACACCACCTTGAGGGAGTCCAGCTCCATCCCCACAACATTGCTGGCCTTACGGATCAGTTTATTAAGTCTGTTGGCATCTGCGACCCTCAGCCTGCTCCCCAGCATGCAACAGCATAGAGGATCGCACTGGCCACAACAGACTCATAGAAAATCCTCAGCATTTTCTGGCAGATGTTGAAGGACCTCAGTCGCCTCAAAAAATAGAGACGACTCTGGCCCTTCCTGTAAAGTGCTGTGGTGTTTTTAGCCCAGTCCAGTTTATTGTCAATGTGTACTCCAAGGTATTTATAGTCCTCCACAATGTCAACACTGACCCCCTGGATTGAAACAGGGGTCAAGTGTTTCCTGGTCTTCCTGAAGTCCACGATCAGTTCCTTGGTCTTTGCCACGTTGAGCTGCAGATGATTCTGCTCACACCACGTGACAAAGGAGTCGACCACAGCCCGGTACTCTGTCTCATCATCCCTGCTGATGCATCCAACCACCGCAGAGTCATCAGAAAACTTCTGAAGATGGCAGGTCTCTGTGCAGTGGCTGAAGTCTGTGGTGTAGAGGGTGAAGAGGAAGGGGAGAGGACAGTCCCCTGTGGTGCCCCTGTGTTGCTAATCACCTTGTCAGACACACACTGTGGGAGACGTACATATTGTGGTCTTCCTGTCAGGTAATCAACAATCCAGGACACCAGAGAAGCATCCACCTGCATCGCTGCTAACTTATCACCCAGGAGGGTCGGCCTGATGGTGTTGAAAGCACTGGAAAAGTCAAAAAACATGACCCTCACAGTGCTCGCCGGCTGGTCCAGATGGGTGTAGACACGATTGAGCAGGTAGATGAGATTAAGAGTTCCCTTCACTGGAACTAAGGAGCCAAGGCCAGTTCCTGAAAATCAACCCCATCACCTATATGGAAAGCTTTTACACAAATATTATGCCTGAATAACAAGTTTCAGTTACAGTTTGTTTCTGTGTTAAAATAAAAAATAAAAAAAATGCTAGAGCAGTCGATTTGACATTTATTCATCTTTTTAATACTGTTAAACCCCCCCCCCCCAAAAAAATAGATATAGGTATGAGAGTGAGAGAGATGTTAAATATGACATAAAAAAAACGTACATTTAAAATAAACATTACACAATACACTTACCTACCCCTTCATTTGGCACACAGTGCTTTCCTTTAGATCTGTCTTAATTCTTTGTGGCATAGATTCAGCAAGGCGCTAAGAACATTCTTCACAGATTCTGGTCTTTGTTGACAAGATGGCATCACACAGTTGCTGCAAATTTGTAGGCTGTGCATCCATGATGCAAATCTCTGCGGAGGACATTTGAATACAGTGAACATTGTCATGTTCAAGAAACTAGTTTCAGATGATCTGAGCTATGTGACATGGTGCACTATCCTGCTGGAAGCAGTCATCAGAAGATGGGTACACTGTGGGCATAAAGGGATGGACGTGGTCAGCAACAATCCTCAGGTAGGCTGTGGCGTTTAAATGATGGCCCAAAATGTGCCACGAAAACATCTTCCACACCTTTACACCAGCAGCAGCCTGAACCATTGATAAAAGCCTGGGTGGATTTGTGTTTTGATGTTGTTTATGCCAAATTCTGATTCTATGATCCAAATATTGAAACATCAAACCGGATAGTGTTTTTCCAATTGTCTGTAATCCATTTTTGGTTAACCTGGTGTTCTGTTGCTGTAGCCCATCTGCTTCAATGTTTGACATTCTTTGTATTTATATATGCTCTTCTGCATATATAAGGGTGGCCTGATGTCAGTCTTTAAAAGGAACTGCACAACATTGTTATTCCTTGTCCCCGTCCCCTATCCTGAGACTAAGTCCAACACTGTGACTTGCTCTGCAGGACATGCACTTTTCTAAAGTCTGGCTTTTGCCCAATGCATGTGAATTGTAGTCAAAGAAAGACTAGCCTGTCTAATTCTATACTAATTAGTAAAAGATACCCAGACATCACGAGCATATCAGATTTTGGAGAAAACTGCCACAAAGAAAATGAAGTGGCACTATATTTTCAGAGATAGAAATGTTGTCTTTATTGTTATTATTATTATTATTATTACTTTATACTAGTTATTTTTCTGTTTCATACAGGAGAAAATATGTTATGGAGTGACACAGTATATGTGTGTCATAATTGGCTAACATTTGTTAATATTTTTAGGTGTGGCTAAATAACGGCACGCCAATCTATGGATTTGATTTTGTGACAAATATCAACATGATATTTGTCACAAAACATTTAGCATATTTCTGTTTTATTTCAGCATATCTTTTACGTTTTGGTTGTTTGTTTATATTAAATCCTTTACATTGCAACATTCTAACTAGTGTTAAGAAATTAAATTAAAAATACATTTTCAAATAACGAAACGAGGTATACAATTTCCACACAATGAAGTTATAAGTTCGTAAAAAAAAACAAAAAAACAATTTAAATGTAGAAATTTGCATTTTTGTGAACCTCGGGTGGTTTTGTGTCGATCATCGATCGTCACTTCGCTGAGCCAATGGCTGGTTCTCGTTCCAGCGGATGTTTCGCAATGACAGGCGTGAGATATATCCAATCAGAGTTTATAGATTGGATTTAGGGCGGGATCCCAGCAAGGAGGTGGGATTTTAGCTACCGTCCATCTTCAGCTACATTACAGTGAGCGAGCTTGTCGAAAAGAAAACACAATTTGGAAGTAAAGAAGACTTTCTGGAATTAGTTTTGGCTCTATTTGAAAAAAGACAAACGAAATCCCATACCCTAGGTAAATGTCGTGCACAAGTATAAATCTAGATTGTCGGCTTGACCCAGTATCCCTTTTTCCTAAATCTGACTAGCTGGCAAGCTAAGCTGCTAACTAGCATTTTATGCATTAGCTAGCATGTTAGAGATTGGAACGGATTCTGTTATTATTGTGCCTTTCACAACGCAAAACCACAATATAAAGACTGTGCTGGACCCCAAATTAATAATGCATGAATATGAAGTTGTTCTGTCAGCATGCACCGGGGCAGTTCCAGGAAACGGGTCGGTTAGGAACCGAGCGAGGTGGAGAGGCTAAGCTACTGGCTAGTATTAACGTTAGCTGAGTAGCGTTAGCGTGCTAGGTGGCTAAATTTAGCTGACAACCATGTCACTTGTGTTGGAAATATTAGCAAGGTGATATATGACAATACTAGGATGGAGAAGTGGCCATAGAAAACTTTATTTTCATTGAGCGTGCTTAAATTCTGAAGCTGTGGTGTTATTTAGCTGCTAACGTCAGCCGGGTAGCTAGATGGAGTTAATGTCAGGTTCACTGTGGAAAGCGATGTAACGATTCCTCTTTTGGAGGGATTTTTGTTTGTATTGACACACGCTTCGATTTCTTCACCCAGATAACTTCGTGACAGACGGAATGTGGACATTGTCGTAGTCAGAGCCATGGCTGACAAGAGAAAACTTCAAGGTAAAAGAAACTGTCTTCAGTTATGTTGCACAATATGAATCACGTTGTAGGGTCTGCTGGTGTACAGGAAACTTTATTTCCTCTTGCATGCTCTTACTGTTTTGAAAGAGTTTATAAGGTCTTTTGGTAATGCATCATATTTTTTGAATTTGTGCAGGTGAAATCGATAGATGTTTGAAAAAAGTAGCTGAAGGTGTAGAACAGTTTGAAGATATCTGGCAGAAGGTAAGAGATTCTTCCATTCTGTATTTATTTGTCTATTTAGTAACTAATGAGGAAAAGACACACAGTATCTAAATGATTTGTTTACATTTTAGCTCCACAATGCAGCCAATGCAAATCAGAAGGAAAAATATGAGGCTGACCTCAAGAAAGAGATTAAAAAACTTCAGGTAAGAAAGCTTAACAATGACCATGTAAGTATTCAAAATTAGCTATGTGATTTTTAAAATGCTCACCATCTGTGCTCTTTCAGCGATTGAGAGATCAAATAAAAACATGGGTGGCCTCAAACGAGATCAAGGACAAAAGGCAGCTAGTTGAGAACCGCAAACTTATAGAAACGGTATGGATCTTCACAAGTGTACTTTAAAAAAAAAAGTGTTGCATTTATATTATGTATAACTAAAGTGCATTGTTACATCAGACCTGAAGTAATTAA